TGCAGAAGAGGATAGAAGTGGGTCGGGGTAGAAATTCTCTGCACATTCTCCTCAATTTTGCTGTGAATTTAAAAAAAAAAAACTTCTCTTAAAAAACAGTCTACTTTTATAGATTAAAAGTGAAAAAAAATATAGGAAATGCAAAAAATAATATCAGGGGTTAGATACCATCTATACAGCATCAAACGATCTGTTTCAATCTACCAAGTGTAGCATGAATTCTATAAAAATCAAACTCTAAGGCAATAAATTATATTCTACCACAAAAAAGTCCCTGCTGAATTCAGTGAGTCAGCTAGAAGATTATACCCAGAGGGAATTGTGCTCTGCTTATTTTTTTCCCTTTGTAAGAAAAGACCTATATTTTAAAATATTAGATAAAACCCGTCAGTGCAGTATCTAGCAGCTCACATCAATCATCGGCTTGGAAGAGGCCCTGGGAGTTAGCAGTCCAAGGAGTCGATGTATCACTGTGTCCTGGAAAATTCTGATGCACCTGGCTGCTAGACTGTTCTCTAAACACACGCTGGGTAAAGGCTGTTGAATTTCTGACACTGACAGGCAGGCCCAAGACACCCAGACTTCCTGATGCCCCTCCACTTCTGAATCCGGAATGTCAGGGCTGACAGCTGATGCTCTGGAAGCCCTCAGGGGCTCCCAGAATGATTCAGTTAGCGGAGTCTGGCTTGCTTTGCATGGGGAATGAGCTGTAAGTCACCCTGATAGGCTGGCCTTACAATGACACCGGATGGTCTGAAACACTGCCTTACTGTCATGTGGCACTCGGTGATTTACCCTAGCTTGAGCCTTCAATTCATAGATATCTGTGGATTCATTCATGCCTTTCTTCTGTCTTCCAAGAGGTAAAATAGGCTAGTGGTCATTTGCAGAACTGAGAATGTAAGGATTCCTGTTTATGGTTTTCACATAAGTCAAACCTCATTATTCATAAATCCATATTTTCAAATGTATCTGCTTGCTGGAATGTATTTGTAACCTCCAAATCAATATTCAGAGCACTTTGGGACCATGTGTGGCCACGTGCAGAGAGGCAAAGACTGGTTGATGGGCCCAGCTGAGGTCAAACGGGGTGACGCTCTGCCTTCTTGGTTCAGACCTCACAGTGTCAACAAGTGTCCTTTGTGTGGTCTATTGAGTGCCTTTTTTAAAAAAAAAACAATTTTGTGCCTTTTTAATTGGTGATTTATTTCACCAAGAAAAAAAATGAGAAAAAAGAAAAGAAAACACCATCCAAAGCACAGCGCTGGAACACTGTCCAGGGCTTATCAGTGCAAGGAGACTGTGATGTGCCTTATGGAGAAAATAGATGCATCCCGTGAGCTTTGTTCAGGCATGAATTATGGTGCTGTTGGCTGTGAGGTCAATGCTTGTGAACAAACCCACATAGGAGATAAGACGTTCTGAAACAAGAGGCATACATCAAACATGGTTAGGTATCGATCAATTAAAGAAAATGCTGTCCCTGGAGGTCACAGGACCCTGACCCTGGATTTCCTGAGGAGTCAGAGTTCGGGATTCCCTTGTTCACTATTTGTGGCAACATCATAGGACACAAGTACTGCAAGCAAAGAGAATCAACCGTAGTTTGGTAACAGGATGGAGGCCTGGGCAGAGCTCCTGGCACGGCAGACACAGTCTTGAGGGCCGGCTTGGTCTAACTCTCGAGGTCCCCTGTCTGCATCAGACACATCATCTAAACACACAGCGCCCTTCGCGGTTCAGGGGTCTCCAACCTTGCTCCCATGTTTGTGTTTTTCACAGGCTGTACCGTCTCTCACCTCTGCCTGCATAGCTCCCGTTGGTACTTCAAGACTTAGGCCTCCGTGTCCTTTTAGGGTCGGCTGGGCTGTGGTCACTTGGGAACTTGCTCAGGCCTACCTGAGTTATGCCCTGCGTGGCCTGGACTCTGTTCACGTGGGTCTTCTTCTCCTTTTCTCTTGTGGTGCTGGGGACAGAACCCGGGGGCCTCTCCTTGTGCCAGGCCAGCGCTCCCCCACTGAGCCACACCCCAGCCCTCGATTCACCTTTGTATCCTTGGCCCATAACAGCCTGACAAGCCCTAGGGACTTCAGAAACAGCTGGGGGACAGCAGCATAAGAGAACAACCTGGTGAAATATTTCTGACAAACAGTTGCTGACTCTGGAAGGAGGCGTAGCCGACATAGCCCGGGGGCTCATTTTATCAGCAACTCAGTCAAGGGCACACGCCGATGGAGCAGGTATGAACCAAAGACTACGGAAAGATCCACAGCAGCCTTTCCAAGTGGCAATGTGTGGAGGAGGCTGTCCAGCCTCTCCCTTTGGCTTTCTGAGAGTCTCAAATCATTGTTTAGACTGAGCAGCCTTTTATTAAATACCACTCACTCCCCTTCAAGGTCGCTGTCAAGATTTATTGGCTGCTGAGCTGGACTGGGAGGAAATGTGGGTGATGAGGGTTGGGCTGCCTCCCCTCTCGCCCGTCTCTTGATAACAGCTGAATGAGAGTCGAGAGGCCAGAAGGAGATCTGCAAACCTAATAATCCTGCCATAATGACTGTTTTTCAAGCTCCCAGCAGATTCAAGCTGAACTGAGTATACTCAATATCTTTTGTTAGGAGCAAGGAGATGGCAAGATCACACACACACACACACACACAAAACCCCCTCCCACGCTTATGCACTTTGCTCTTTTCTGTGAGCATTGCTTGCTTCGTAACTTCTTCCTCCCAAAACTCACCCCTTGTCCATCCTTCTCCTCCCTCGGGTCCTGTGATGGCTTCTTAGTGGGGAAGCTTAGGTCAACCCAGGAAACGCCAGCACCCCTGCTTTGTAGTGTCCCATCCCCCTCCCATCATCTGGGCCATCTTGCTGTGCCAGATCCCTGCTCCACCATCCTGCCTGTGTGTTGGGTTGTGACTACGATAGAGTCAAAACAAAAAGTTTGAGAAGCTCTGACCTGACTTTGGGAATTGTCGGGCTCAGTCCTCTCAATTTCCAGATAGGGAAGCTGAGACCCACAGAGAGAAGACTGGATAATGCAGTGGCCGAGGCAGGTGGGGGCTGGCCTTACAGCTGCCGGTCTGGGCTCATGGTTCCTCACTGGAGCAACTGGACTGGCAATTGCTGGGAAGTTCAAACAGCAGGGTTCTCGGCTGGGAGACATCTGGCGATATCCAGAGTCTTTTTTGGTTGTCACTACAACGAATGGGATGCTACTGGCATTTAGAACATTCAGGCCACTAGTAACCATGATCAGCAGTATGACCTGGTCACTCACCCTGGCCAGGGCCCTGTAGTGGCCCAGGCTGTGGAGGCTTCCTGGTGGTTCTTTCAATGGGAGCCGCAACCTAACTGCTAACCTGGGGTGCAGGGCGGAGCTCGAGGTGGGTTTTTTGCTTGTTGTAATTTAAGAACTTATTTTTGTTTTGCTTTGTTTTCGGAGAGTGAACTTTGCATTTCTCTAATACAGAGTTTCTCAATGTGAAACATTTTGGACCACATGAGTCTTTGTGGCAGGGACTGTTCTGTGCCTGGGAGGATGTGTAGCACCATTTCTGCCCTCTGCCCTCTGCCAGAAGCACCTTCATGACTGGTTCCATGTCTAAATACTGACTCCTTATTCCTGACTTGTGTCCAGGGTCTTGCTCATAGGTGATACTTAAACCTGTGACTGGCTTCTTTGGCTTGGGGCTCTCCTCAGACATACTGTCACCTAGATCCAGGATGAGGGGAGGATTCTTGCACTGGTCAATAGTCTGCACTCCTCTTCTGGGAAGCACTGAATTTCCTGCCCCTCACCCCCCAGGGTTGCCTGGGATCATGTGACTATTTCAAGCTGATGAGTTGTGAAAGGAAGTGAGGAGTGTCACCTCCAGGCTGGAGCATTTGATGGTTGTTCCAGGCCCTCCATGATTCCCTCCATCAGCTGAGATGATTATGGAATCTTCCAGTTGATGCTCAGTGGACATGTAGCATGAACGGGAGACCAACTTTTTTTTTTTTTTTTACCTGTCTGAGATTTTATTAGCAGGA